AGTAATAATAACTATTAATATTATTATTATTACGGTTATTTATTACTATTTTTTTTTTTTTTTTTTTTTGGTGCTTTGTATTATTTTTCTTTTTTTTTTTTTTTTTTTTGGAAAGAAATGAGAGAGAGAGAGAGAGAAAGAGAGAAAGAGTATTTAGATAGTGTGCGAAGAACTATGATGATGTCATGTGTATTACTCTCTGCATTATGGAAGAGAGATAATAAAAGTAACAGTAAAGGAACCAATAACTAATAAAGAATAAATAATAACACTGGACGATAAATAAATAAATAAAATAAATAAAATAAACGAAACGATAGAGGAAAACTCCAAAATAAAAACAAAACAAAAAATAAAATAAACTCTTCCTATACTTATGAAAATAAAACAGTATTGATCACAACAGTGTCTGTACTCGATGGGCCCGTTGTGTTCTCAGCAGTTCTTCCACACGTCCAATATCATCCAACAACTCCTCCAGAGATTTAGTAAAGTTGTCTGTTTCTTCTAATGTTGTTTGTGTGTAAAACTCCGCCTGTTGTTGTTGGCGTTGTTGTCGATTTCTCAACTCCACTTCACGTTCCGCCTCCACATCTGTTGTATACATGGATGAAGGCAACGATGAAGAGAAAGAAGAAGAAGAAGAATAAGTAGATGATGATAATGATAATGATAATGATGATAAAGAAGAAGAAGAGGTTTGACTATTATCTTCATAGTCATTCCATGCTGTTAGACCTTTAGACTTATGGCGTGAGAGAATAGCGGGTTCATCCATGCCTTTCATCACAACATCCTTTATAGTGATATGAGATGTTAACATCTTGTTAAACCAACCCATCATTCTCTCACTCTTGCTATTCCCCACTATGTGTGTATATAATAAACCACTATTATTATTATTATTATTATTATTATTATTATTATTATTATTATTATTATTATTCATAGTAGAATTAGAATTAGAAGTTATTGCACATAGTGTCATGTACTGTCGTGCTAAATAGAATGATGTACTGCATGGACGTACACTAAATGTTAACATCTTTAAACGTTCATAGTGTGCTGCAATTTGTTTAATCCGTAATGCCAATACACTTGCTAATAAAATACGATCAGCGCTAAACTGAAGGGCAATCACAACTCTCACCCGCATCTCATTATCATTATCATTATTCTGCTGTTCTTCTTCTTCTACTCGCCCAGCACTGGGGTTATAGTGAGAGCGAAGAGGAGAAACCAACGCTGATGATGATGGAAGAGGTACATTCAAACGTCTTTCATTCTTTCCTTTAGAATCTGTTGATATTCCAGTTTCTAATGTTGACTTTATTCCTCTGATGATATCATTAGTTCCTTGTTGAGATCGTTTACGTCTCTGCCGAGTCATTCCTGTAATACACATTGCCTGCATTCCATTTGGTAATGCCTTCTCATCTACAGTGATCTCCACACGTACTGGAGGGAACTCCTTAGAAGATGTTAGCCACTCAGCAGAACGTGATTGACCTTCTTCTTCTTTTTCTTCTTCACCTCTACGAAAAGATCTTCCCCACATATTATTATTATTATTATTATTATTATTATTATTATTATTATTATTATTATTATTGTTAGTATGGCTCTTTTTATTCTTATTCTTCTTCTCTTTGAGTTGTGGGGCGTAGGCGCCGAACTCGAGTCTCTCCACAATAACACCCGCCCGTCCACTGCGTTGTTTTAATAGAAACAAAGATCCATTGCGTGTCAACACCACCGCACGGGGGGCCAAACGTGTGGAAATCAAACTTCTCCCCCGACCACTATTACCCACACTGTCACTATTACTATTATTATTATTATTAGTTATTGGATTACCAACAGGGAGAAGTTGATCGCAGTGGGCGGCGAAAACGGGCTCCAGCGCCTCTGCGGATGGACGCCGCAGTCCAATCAACCGCACAAATTCGTCTGTGAGTTCCACAACCGGCGGCGGCTCCGCTGCCAACACCCGCAATTCATCTCGAATCCCATCCATCAGAGAGAGATAAAAAGAAAGCTGATGGATTACCACTTATATATATATATATATATATATATATATATGTGATTGTATTTCTGTTTTGTCTATATTACCTTTCTTTATTTTTTTAAATTATTCCTTGCGACAGTGAAGCAGAAATGGGGGGAATGTAAATCCGATCTTCTTAAGAGTCTCAACGAAAGAAAAAGAGAGAAAGAAAGAAAGAAAGAAAGAAAGAAATAATAATAATAATAATAATAATATTGGGAAAACAGAGAAGTAAAGAGAAGAGGGAGAGGGCATCCAAAAAGGCAGAGGTGTCACACTCTTACCTGTTTCTTTTGTCATGGGTTTCAGGCGTAAATAAGCCGAGAGAACAGAAAAAAAAAACAAGTAAATAAAACAAAGAAAAAGGTCTCCAATTTCCAAATGTTCAAGTGCAACTATTGCAAAGTATGAGGTTATTTGTGTATATACACACACACACACCAAAGCAAAAGAAAAAGAAAAAAAAAGAAAAAAGAAAACGATTTGATAAACTACATAAGGAGATAATGTAAACATACAGGCCATATATATATATATATATATATATGCGGCACTTGGGCGATTCCGTTTTCTTTTTTTGTAACATTCTTTTACCTTTCGGAGATACATGTTTTGTTTGTCTGTCTCTCTGTGTGTGTGTGTGTGTGTATGATTGTATATACTGCCGCTTTCTGCTGCTTCCACCGTTTACATTTTGTAGTGGCGGTGGAGCTAATAAGCAACAAACACACACACACACACAGAAAGAGAAAAGAAAAAAAGAGAGATAGAAAGTGCAGAGAGAACATACATATGTATTCGTATGAGTTTGTATATATATTTTTCTTCCATCTCATCCTCAGCGCGCCCTCCATATTACATTACAGCCAGTAAGAGAAAGGGATTACAACAATTCTATTTACGGGTTCTCTGCGGATGTTCCCCACCCCAATACTGAATCATGAAAGGAAAAATTTGATATTGCGGTGGTTGTTGTTGTCGTTGTTGGTTTTCTCTTTGTCGTTGACGCGCTGATGATCCACCGTACTGCGATCTCAACAGTGATAAACGCCTCTCAAGAGAAAAACGTCTTGGGGGTCGTTTGGCGTACGTCTCCAGACGAGAACGTCTGCGTGTGTTTACACTCACACGCGGTCGACCAATGCGAAGATCTGTTACTGGTTCCCGTACTTTCGGGTGGAACTCAAAGAGTGGAAGCCAACGAGGACGATGATAGAAAATATACGGTTGAAATCCTTGTTGAACACGTTGTCGTTGACGTATAGAAGAAGCCCTTAGAAGTAACATATTGCGCCAGAAGCTTCTGGCTGTGCGAGAGAGTTTTAAGTTATTATCGCTGCTCTCACTACTCCTGCGTCTCCCTCCCCTAGAAAGCACAGGACTATGACGTAAGATATCCGTAATAACATATTGACGTGGAACTGGAAGAGTTGGGGGTTGACTCCCATCTTTATGTTCACCAGATAATAAGGATTGCGTTTTGGTACTATGTGTAGTGGATTGTGTTTCTCCAATACTACGACCGGAAATAGCAAATGCTGATGGGGAAGTCGATACACCTCCCATATCGGAATTCTGATCCATGTAAGAAATATTTGGATAATATGATCCTGGTTCTCCACTGTATATATGCTGCCCTGGACTGCCAGAAGGATGTAATTGCCCACCACCAACTGGTGAAGCTCCAGGCATGAACACTGTTGTACCACCCAGCATAAGTTCATCAGCTCGATTTCCCCACGTATTTGGAACTGTTGTTTGACTTGGAGTAGTGAATCGTGAGAAGTTGTATTGTAATTGTAAACCAGGTGATTGAGGATATTGATTTGTGGGTGAACTCCCAAAAGCAGGCGAACCAACCGTAAACCCTGACGGAGAAGTTCGACCACTTCCTCCTCCTCCTCCTCCAGAAGCTACAGGTGGATTGCCAGTAAATCCAACTTGAACTGTTGACATTCTTGTTGGAATGCCAGAACTAGCCACTGCTCTGTTAAAGAAAGATGCCCAGGGAACAAGTGTCGTCTGCGGCCCGTGATGTTGTGTATAAAACGAACGCGAAGGCTTCGGAGTACTTCCACGATCCACATCCAAATCATCAAAACCAATCTGAATAACAGCCGGACTCCATGGTGTTCGCTGCTGAATACGTCGTGTCCAATGTAATGAATTCCTACCGGAGCGTGGTGTAGTGCCTGGGAGTGTTGGTAAAATAGGCTCCGCTGCGTCTGCATCTGATTTGAGTATTTTATCATCCTGTACCACATTCTCACCTCCTTTCCCTGCAAGTTTAGGAAGACCAGAAGTAGTAGTGGTAGTAGTAGTAGTAGTAGTAGTAGTAGTAGTAAACGGTTGTTGTCCAGGTCGTGTACGGGAGCTGGCACGTGTTTCCTTTTTCTGTTTCCCACGCTCACCACCTCCGGCATTCTCTCCATATGAGATAGTACCTTTACCGTATCGTGTAAACCCTCGTTGCTGTTGTTGTTGATCTTCTTTTAGTGCGGGGGCTTGTGGTGAACGTCTTTTGGTACTTTCACTGCGATTATTACCGGTAGTACGTGATAAGGTCTTCTTACCTTCTCCTTGTTTCTCCTCATCAGCTTTAGCTCCAGTAGTTATACCAGTCGCAGTAGGATCATTCTTTGCAACTCCTGCAGCCGCCTGTTCCTTCTTCTCATCCTCTGATCCCACACTTTGTTTAAGTTTCTCCTTGTTCGCATTTACATTACCTTCCATACCTTCACGGCGAGGACTACGAGTTGATTCCCTAGATGAATTACTAGTATTTTTCTTATTAACACCAATCCCACTACTTGGTCTACTTCCTTCACTTGTGTTGACAATCATACCTCCATCACCTTTAAAAACATTTGACCCAGAATCCGAAAACATAGGTCCCAGTTTTCTTGAAATATTACCACTACCACTTGGAGAAGCAAGTGATGACAATCCTGAAGAACGCACTTGGTTATCAGAATTTTGATTGTTTGTATCCCCAGCGTGTTGCATCATACCTTTAGATAGTTGTTCGTATCCTTGAGATTCACTGGAGAGTGCTCTTCCTTTCTTCGCTGTAGTTGTTACAGATGGTGGCATTCCTCCTTTATTTGATCTCGCCGTGCTGCTGGCACGTGATGAACCTCGTTGGAGAAGCTGCAATAAACGTTCTATAATGCGTGTATCTGCAGCTACAGTATTGTTTACATATTCTGCTTGTGCGGCTGCATCTTCTTTATTCTTCTCATCCACTTTAAATGGTGTTGGTTGTATAGCGTTTTCCCGTTCACTTTCTCCCTTCACAGTGTAAAGAAGATCATTCAGATCAATTAGTAATCCGTGTAAAGTGGCATAGTTTCCAGTTAGGGTGTGTAAACGTTGTTTAATTTCTTGCTTCTCTTTCTTATCCATTTCACTCGTGCTATCAGGAGTATTATTACTACTATATCTATGTTTACTGGCAGCAGCAGCAGCAGCAGCGGCAGCACCAGAAGGAGAAGCAGTAGTAGCACGACGAGATGAGCCCTTCTCACCACCTGATATACTGAAGAACGAACCATGTCTCTTATCCTCATCTGCATCTAAACCCACCTGTGCAAATAATGGTAAGGCTGCATTAAGAATTCCACCTGTAGAAGCAATCCGTTCTACACGTGTAGTACTGGACGTACCACCATCTACTATACCTGCGCTTAGAGACTGTGAAGCTCGCTCTACAACTCCCACACTACGGGTACCAGAGGTGGAGGATGTCGTTGGTACAGTAAAGTGTGTAGGTGAAGTTCGACCGTAGCCTGCAGAGCCAGTAGATGGGCGTGCACTTCCATCACGAGATTGTCGTTTTGAATATGAGTCTGTCTGTACCGCTCGATCATATACGCCCACTCTGATTTCACTCGCACTGCTGCTAGTGCTATTATAGCGTGAACGACTATGTGATCGATCAACTCTCGAACGTCTACCACCAGCACCACCAGCACCAAGTGGAGTGTGGGGTGAATGTGGTCTCTGTAGTGAGTCCTGCAAGGAGGCGTTTTTACTTCCCAAGTCGCGTGATGACTTATGCGAGTATGCTGGTGACTGTGTAGATACAGTGGACCCTCTTGGACAAGTATTCGCACTTGTTCGTTTGCTGCTTCCTACACCTGACTCCTTTGAGTTACCAGCGTTTCGTGATGATTGTGCTTCACTTTTCTTTTGAGATTCCTCCTTACGTCCTGGTGAGGATGATGCTGATAATGAACCTGCGGTAAGTCTTCTTCCAACATCGTTTTTACTGCCCCCAATACTTGCACTACTAACACTAACAACACTGGGACGCCTCTGTTGAGATGTCTGCTGTGGAGATGCATGAGGTGTTGAGAATGCGGATGAGATTGGTTTTGGAGATGGTGTTAAACTCGCCCGTAGTCGTGTATTTGGTAACTCCTGTGATGACTGACCCAATGAACCAAGTGAGACATCACTGGTACGACGTGTTGCGGAGAGAGACGATCGCTGTTCCTGCTGACTCTCACGCCCAGTAGGTAAAGAAGGAGTCTGTACGGATCCCCGTGTGGAAGGAGTCTTTTCTGAATACTTACGTTTATCACTTTCTCTTCCTACAGACCCCTCTCTTCCTGTTGCTCCTGTTACTGTTGTGGTTGAAGTGGCGAATCCATTCTTTTCATTTATAGGCAATTGCGGTGTTTCTGGTGGTGTTGGTGCTTTACAAACATGCGAGTGCACGGCATCCTCCTCCGCCATACATAATGCCTCATACGCCTGCGTTACATCTTGTACGTGTTTGCGGTATAATGTATGGCGCAACATTACATATCGTCGTTCTTCTTCCACACTCCGCACTTTTGTCTCCAATTCCACTACATATAATCGCAATTGGGCTTCCACAGAACGATCCTCTACATCATCTGCAATGCGTTGTAGAGCCTCAGCACTGTACTCTTCACCATCTACACCCATTCGTCCCATGATACCATCCTGTGTTCGTCCACGTCCACTGCGGCCAAGTTGACGACGTAGATTTGCAATAGTAGTTTCTTTTTGGGATAGTAATAATAATCCTTCTGCAACACGTTGTTGAGAGACCTGCAGTTCTTCATCTCGTTTCATCATTTTCTTTTCCATCATCTCCATCTCTGTTTTCATGCGTGCAATTTGTTGTCGTAATTGTTCCGCCGTAACACCTTGTTTCGCAATATCCTGATGTAATTGTGTGTTATTCCGCTCCAAATCACCCGCACGGTGTTCAAGAATATTATATGTTTCCTGTAATTGTTCATATTGTCCCTGCAGAACAGCATACAATTGATGTTGTTTGTGTAGATCAGCTCTGGTGCGCTCTAGTGTAGTCTTAGTCGTAGCGAATCGATTCTGCACGGCTTCAAAAAGCTCAAATGAGACTGTAATAGAGGGAATCGTCCCCGCTGGTGGACCATCCTCACCGTAGAAAAGTGCCTTCATGGAGTTATATCCGGGTTCACCAATGGCTTCTAGAATACGACGATACCCATCGCCAAACTCCATCGCCGCCCGGTCCTCAGCAGTCGTGATCTTTCCACTTCCCATGGCAGTTGCAGTTGCGGTGTTTGGTCTTACAGATGCGGATGTCAGTGTTCTCACGGCGGTCTCTGAAGAGGGTTGGCATCCCGTATTAGAATCATCGGTGCTAGTGTTGCTGGCAACGGCATTTAGTGGTTGTACATGTCGCTGCCGTTTTGTAGGAGTTCGGGCCGAAGTTACAGCACGCCCTACTTCAGACATTTCTCACTCAATGGTGTGTATGTGTGTGTGTGTGTTTTTTGTTCTTCTTTCTTTTGTATGTATAATAGTGTATATATATATATGTACACGTATTGTACTTGCCCTTAGTGCTCCTGTTTCTATAATGATGAGAGAGAACTTGTACAAATAGAAGAGAAAAAAAAGAAAGAAAGAAAGAAAGAAAGAAAGAAGGGAAAAAGAAAAAATAAAATAAATTGACCCAAGGTTGTCAGCTATGACCAAGTATATATATATATGTATATGAAAGAAAAAGAAAAAGAAAAGAAAGAATCAATATAAACTAAGTGGAACCGTTTTTCTATTTTAGTCATCACCCACACTTCCCCCACCCCTTTCAATAATTCCTCTTTCATACCTGTTTACAGTGTATATTGGATATAACGTCCTGCTGAGGGTGTGTAATGGGTGTGTAGAGGAAGAAGAAAAGAAAAAGCAAAACACCCCACATGCGCACTGTATCATCTCTACAGACACAAATTATTCAACAGCACCTCAACACATAATGGAAAAGAAAGAAAGAAAGAAATAATAATAATAATAATAATAATAATAATAATAATAATAATAATAATAATAATAATACCCCAGCGCTAATAAAAATAAAATAATTCAACTCTTCACACTCTTTCACTTTATACAAGACCCCACCCCACCCCACACACCTGTCAAACTACATGCCGCATAGCCGCATCTACAGATCCCCCATACGTCTCACCAAAGAGAAGTAAATGACACAAAAGCGGCAGTAACTGATACCACGGCACTCGTAATTCATGTCCTGTTGCTAATGGAAGTATCTCATTATATGCATTGTAAAAGTCATCATCAAAGCCACCAAACAGTTTAGTCATGGCAATATCAACTTCACGGTGTCCATAATAGGAGGATGGATCAATAAGATAAGGATCATTCCCAGCAGCACCTCCATACATAACGTTTCCTCCCCATAAATCTCCATGTAGAAGACTTGGTGGCTCATCCTTACCCATATTCTTATTTCTCTTATTATTATTATTACTATTTGTAGTAGTAAGAGAAGGATTATTGGTATCATTCGTATCATTATCATTATTTGATGCATAAAAGGCGTGAAAACGTTTACTAAATTCCGTAAACAACCCCTCTCGCTTGGCACTCCATAATCCCCTCTTCCGTGCTGTTTCCACCAATGGTGTGAGACGCATATTAATATAATATGTTGCCCAATCCCTACACCAACCAGCTGGAGTTTTGCAGCCAGCGAAGACAATCGGCACGGCGGCGCCAAACTGACCATTTGGACTTTTCTGTTGATGCACGGCGGCCATCATGCGGCCCAGAGCCGTTGTGTTCCTTCGCAGACTGCGGTGGGGGGCGGGATGAATGTAAGTCATGATGAGATAGGCATCGCCGTGGACCTCACCCACACACACAACTGTTGGAGTGGAGGCGACAGCAGAGAGAAGTTGAAGGCCTTCCGTCTCCGCAGCGTAAAAGTCTGCAGTGGCCCCACGCTGCAGCTTCAGAAAGTACATGGAACTATCATTCCTATTATTATTATTATTATTATTATTATTATTATTATTATTATTATTAGTAGTAGTAGTAGTAGTAGTAGTAGTAGTAGTAGTAGTAGTAGTAGTAGTATTAGTGTCATTGATAGTGTTATCAGTTGGATTGTTCTTTGCCATTTCAAGTCTGTATGTTTCGTTCACATCACCGCCAAACACACGTGTGGCTCGAGCAACCGTCGCTCCAAGAACTTTAGAGAATGTCGTTTCAATGGACATTTGTTTTTTTTTTTTTCTTTTCTTTTAAATCTACTGTTTTGATAATATACGATCTTCTTTGATGTTATTAATTGTATTCCTCTCTACTTTGTTTTGGAATGGAAGCACGCCCATCTATTTATTTTCATCCCCAGCAAATAAAGAGAAAGAAAGATATAAATAAAAATTAAAAAAAGATGTATATTTCTTTTCTTTTTTTTTTTTACTTTAAGGGAAACCCCCAATATTAAATAAATCACCAAGTAAACATAGTAGTAATAATAGTAGTAGTAAACGTAGTAGTAGTCATAGTAATAAGAAGTAATAATAATCACCAGTGATATTCCAGACTCCCTCCTATCACTACAAGGAAGCATATAAGGTATAAATACAGTGATTCAAGAGGAACCAAACTCATAGAAGCAATAAAATAAATAACTAAATAAATAAATAACAACAATAAGACTGACCAATCAAAGAATAACTTTTTATCCCACTAGTTCTTTTGACCCTCCGATAGAACTTGTCTATACTTTGCAGTTATGTTAAGAAACTCCGGCGGCAGTAACTCTTCTGATAGCGGCTGGCGCAACAACCAACCCATAAATATCTCATATACTGTAATAAACTCCAATCTTCTTTGCCTATTACTGTCATGTTGAGAGTCTTTTTCTTCATCCAACACCGTCTCCATCGCACAGCAGAGTATATCACCCATCAAACGTACCGTAAGGAGTTTCTCACCAACCCGTTGTTCATCTTCTTCTCGTTTTTGCTCTTTTTGTTGTCGTTGTTGTTGTTGTTCTCTACTGCATATATACTTTAAAGCGCTTAGTGGTTGTCGCTCTACTAACAACAACTGCACCACCAACGCCACCTCGTGCATTCTTAACAACATACCGAATCCCATTTCTCTGTAGACACCACCCATTTGCAGTAATATCATAGCGGTGGGTACTTGATCAATGATGATACCTGAATGGAATAATCCTTGTTGTAATGGACCCCACTTCCATTGTGTATATTGTAGGAGTCGTAGTAATAGTCGTTGTAGACTATCTAATAGTGTGGAACCCGTCTGCATAACACAACGTGCATACTCCATCAGAGCATAAAAGAGATAACGTGTAAAGTTCAAACTTCCTACAGAAACCGCATACTCTACATGATCATTTCTCTCTCCTCTACCAGTAGACGTCCAGTTATGAAATGGTATACATACTGTATCCACTAATGGATCAAACACATCACGTTGTATTATGGATTGATCAATACTCATACTCATATGAGTATGCATCTCATTAGTAGATGTCATACATGCGGCGAGTACATCTTGTAGAGTTAAATAATAACTTTCCGTATGAAGTGAGTTTCTTTTTTCATTCCTTACTATCAACCATTGTCGTAATGTAGTTGTAGAACCCAAGAGATTCCATGCATTCTCTCTCTGGTACGATATCTCACTAACAAGAGGAACACCAAGACAAAGTGATTCACGCATCCAACTGGGTATATTTCCCTTTTCACTTATATTCTGTTGAGACTGCGTTATTTGCATGGTATGATGAGATATAATCATGGCAAATGCGTGAGAAATAACATCCATGTTTTCCTCTCTTACAAGCATAGCATATACCATTGACTGTACAGCCCTTCCCGCACAGTAGAGACGCTGCAAATAAAACCAGAGACGTTGATTATTATGCGGCATAGTGGCTGCAATTGCAAAGGGATTAACACCCACGAGGTGAACAATTCCTTGCAGTTGATCTATTAACACTGGTAGGGTCCCATATACAAAGGCATGTGTGTAAAGTGAATCCTTCTCAATGGGTATACAAACAGAACTCTGAAGTGGTGAGTATAGGGTGAGAGAAGCCGTTAGTAATGGCTCCAAGACACGAACAACATTTTCCTCACTAGCATTATTAGTACCACTGAATCGAGCTATATTTCTGCTTAGATTACTATTTACACTTCTGTTATTTCTATTCGTATGTGTATTCATCATAGTATTCATACTATTCGTACCACTTAATAAACTATTGGTCAAACGTGTAATCCATGAGACTCGCGGTAACTCTTCCTGGTGTATACTAGTATTTACCGGAGAACTCTTCTTTCTATTGGAGTTAAAGAAACCATCTACACCAGACCGCATTTCATTCAAAGACATGGATGATGATGATCTTGTTGTTGTTGTTGTTGTTGTCTCTCGTGTGTTTATTGTTCCTTTTGAGGTTGCAGTGGTTGTTAGCATTCGTGTTGCTGAATAGCCAGCAAGAGCACTTTCAGCCTCTTCCGTAAATAGAATATCAAACACACTGGAAACTCCTCGTTGGATGGCATGTAGAACTATAAGGTTATCTATTACCTGCAAGGCAATGGGTTCCTCTTGTACAGATAACGGAAAATCAGCGCGTAGAATAGCATACTTTACAAATTTTCCATTTCTACAATTAGTATTAGTATTATTATTATTATTATTATTATTATTATTATTATTGCCATGGCCACCACAACAACCAGAACTACTACTCCCACCTTCACCACCCACGTAGCGGAACAGCACAAGACTTCCATCGTGGCGGGATAAATAGCAGAGAAAGAGATTGCGGTATAGTACCAGAAAACCAACAGGATATCGCACGGTAGGAGTGTCCATACACGCTGCTGAATAAAATATCGGAAATCTTTGGTTACTACTATCACTATTATTATTATTATTATTATTATTATTATTATTATTATTATTATTATTGCGTTTACTATTCTTGTCATCGGTGTTGTTTTCCACCTCTTCAGACGCTGTTGTTTGGATATAGCTTTCCTCCTCTAACTGCAGTGTGGATAATGTATGAAGGCCTTCATCTGTGATTTGAAATGTCTTCACTATATTTGGTTTCAGTTTATTAATAGACAACAGTGTACGAGCGGCTGGGCTGTAGTGCCAATAATCCGTGTGAGTTGGATAGCGACGAAGAAGTACACATGGATCCCCACCGCCCTCAATAACATTACGACTAAATACATTGGAAAGTCTCATCTCATCTATACCCACAATATCAATACTAATAGACGTAATAGAAAGAAAAATACGACGTGAACTTGTGGTATTGGATATATATCTTGTAGAATTGGATGAGATTCGGTTATTTCCTTCTTCTTCTTCCTTCTTCTTTTCTTTATTTTTCTTCTCCTCTGCAGTGGACTGTCTATACACGTCTACTCCACGCAACTCCTCTGCCCAATAAAAGGCACGAATGGGATAAAAGTCCTCGCGGAATCGCAAACTCTTCGGTGCGCATTGAAATACCGCCACTGCTGAGATTGGAACTGTTAACATCTTATGATGACACAAAAAGAAGAAAACGGTACGTGTGTCTAAACTAAGCGCTACAAGATAAGCACGATTGGGATTCTTCTTGTGCAGATGGGGATTATCGCTTTCTTCATATAATGGTCTTGGACACCGTTTGGCGTGGCGAATTGTTGAAGTTTCCCTTTCACTTTGTCCGCCCCTCACTGTTAAGGCAATGGCATCACCTGATAACTCCGCATGATTCCGAAGCCATTCTTTTTCTTTTTCTTCTTTTTCTTCTTCTGTTTGTGGATGGCATTCATCGTCTAATGAAGAAGTATTAGTATTAGTAGTATTATTATTAGTAGTACTACTACTACTAGTCTGTCTGTTTACTTTCTTGTGTGCAGGCAATGTGATGGGTGTTGTGGTGTGAAGTTCTCGAGATTCGCTGGAGAGCTGCACGTGGTAAAAACACACCTCCCGTGAGGTATTACTAAAGATCACAACATCGTTTGCGACCTCATCAAAGTAGACGCGGGATACTTTTACTGGGGATTTACTCCCATCAGTATTACAGCTATAGTTGTTGTTATTATCAGTATTATTATTACTATTATTATTATTATTAGTAGTAGTAGTATTATTATTAGTATTGCAAGTGTTAAATTGAAAGAGAGGCTTTTGAAAAACTACAAATGGTGGGACAGTGGAGACATCTGTCATTTCATGGAACACTGTCCCCCTTTTCTTAAAGAAGAACACAGAACACACACACAATTCATAAAGAAAAGAAGAAAGAAAAGAAAATAAAATAAACAACTAAATACAATAAAATAACGTCGATACTATTTTTACTAACAGACATAGAAAATAAAAAGTATATATAAATTAGTAGAAAATGCATTACAGCAAAGGGGGGATTTAGTACACACACAAACACACAAACGCTCAGAAAAACCAAAAAAGAAAAAAAAAAACAGAAGCAACGGTACTTCACTCCCTTTTTTTTTTGTTTCTCCCTTTTCTTCCTTCGTCTCTTTTCCCTTTTTTTCTTTTACTTTTCCTTTTTTTTTCTTTTTAGTTATTCCCTTTTTCTTCTTTCTTTACCGTAAAAAAAAAAAAGGGAGAGAGGGAGAGGAAGAGAGAGAGAGAAAACACACATATACACACATATATATATATATATATATATATATATACTCATGCCTCCTTTTTTTTTCTTTCTTTCCTTTCCTTTCCTTTCCTTTCCTTTCTTAGTAGCCAAGCTCTCGTCGCAGGAATGTCTTTGGACTTGTCAACCAGGCCATATCATAACTCTGTGCACTCATAATGGAGTAGAGAAAGAGCATTGAACAGGTGGCGGGTGCCGTCATTGTGTGGAAGAGAATATCAAACACCACCGACAGCACAAACGCCGTTGTGAGCAGTGGAAACGCCGCGTAGAAGCGACCAACCATGTAGCAAACACAACAGCAGAGAAAAATGTGAAAGGCGCCTGGTGTGCGCCACTTCACCCAACTCCAATACCGCGGCATCTCATCCACATTCCGCGCCATCCACTCTGGGAGGAATTTGTAGTAAAAGTACTGTGTATCAGTGACGAGATTGCGATATCGCTTATCGAGTGTGGGGCTCTTTGTAATGATTTCATACGCCTTGTTGATTTGATTGAGTCGCGGGATATCACCGGTGCCGCTGGGCTCCAAGTCGGGGTGCACCTCCCGCATCAACTCGTGATAGCGCAGGCGGATGGTCTGCGTGGAGGCCCCCGGCTTCACACCGAGCACCTCCCACGGATTATACCCCACCGCCTCACTCCCATCCCTATCCACATTACCGGCAGAAGATGAGGAAGAAGAGGAAGAAGTCTGTGAAGAGGAAGATGAGGTGGTGCCTGTGCGCTTTGCTGATCCTCGCAGGACATCCTCCTCGCGTGGTTTCTGTGCATGGCGGGACTCTCCAATGTCTGCAGGCACCGAGCCGTACGGCACCGCACCGCCGTAGGAGCGACGGGGAGTTGTGAAGAGTAAAGACGACGGCAACACACCGCGAGAAGTGATGAGAAGAGGCCGCAGGAATACCGCACGTCGCATCGTCATGTATACAGATATATAGATAGATATAGAGATAGATATATAGATAGATAGATAGACAATTAGAATAAAAAGAATGTCAATTCTTCGTCACCTAGTTATTAATGTTTTCTTTTCTTGTTTTTTCTGGTTTATATGTTTTTTTTTTTTTTCTTTCGTTTGTTGGTTGTTGTTGTTGTTATTTTTTCTTTTATTATTATTCCTTTAATTTTCTATTTGTTCTTCGTACTACAAGTTGTCGTTCTGTTTTTTTTTTTTTTTTTGTTTTTTTCCTTCCCACCCCACTACTCTCGGACCTTGGAGTGTACAACTCACACAATGTAAAAGAAGAAGAAGGAGGGAAAAAAAAGGGTCAATGGTATTAAAATAACAGCGAGAGGTACTGCGAAGTGAAATGCCGAAACACAATTATATCATTTACAGAGAATAGAAAATATCCCCCCAACACACATACACACACAGATATATATATATATATATATATATATAGAAAGAAAAAATGATATCAAAAACGGTTAAGTAATAAAATAACAAGAACTGCAAGAAAACCAACAGAACGCGTCATCTCAAATCACAACACCTCAGTTGCGTTAATCCAATCATAAATAATCTCACAGTCCTCTCTTTCCATCAGAGGAACACACACACCTCTTTCTCTCTCTCTCAATTCTCTTATTTCTTCACCCACGCACCACAACCTTACAACCCTCATCCTCTCACATTCATATTATTATCATTATTATTATTATTATCACATAACACACTTTGTTTACAAGACAACAGCCCAAACAAGGAAATGCAACAGAGAGTACATGACCACAATTACTCTTGGCACTAGACGTAATAGTGTCGCCCATAAAAGAATACACGTCAAAGCCCACAATCGGGGAGCCATATGATAAAGAAACATCACCGCTACAAACAACATTATCGTTATCCCAGTTCGTGCAGTTCTCACATCGTGTCTACTACTGATACCACTACTAACAAGTATTTGACGCAGTGCTGGAAGACGTGGAAACATAAAGTAACCAAGCAACGAGGTACCAACGTGGTGCATTAACAATGGAGGATTCAACATAGATCCCCATGATCCACGGCGCAGTTGTGCATAATAAGAAACAGCCGTACGTGGTTCTTCCATAATAAGTAGAGAATGTGTGAAACTCACAATAGAGCATTGAGATTCAGGCACAGTAACAGTAGGAGGTACACATAGCTTTAAGAAGACAGAGGCATTCACCGCAAGGGCCCCACCACTCCCAGTCTCATCCCGTACATAATCGTATACAGTGTGAAGATGCCGTCGTCCATAACGAACAAAGTCCGCTGCCATCATGGCATGTGCACGTTCCGCCGCTGATGTGTTGACGTGAAATATCATTTCCCTTTCAGAACTCTTCGCCGTGGGAGATGCGTCTTGTTTACGCAGTAATTTCTCAACAGAAAGAGGTACACTTGTAAGTAGAATAGTAGGTCGCTTAGACAAGGGCACTTCCCCTCCAAGCATATCACGTAGACTATAAACAACCAGTTCTAGTTCTAGCCGCAGCTCTTGTTCATGTTGTTGTTGTTGTTGTTGTTGTTGTTTTCTTCTTGTTTCTCCTCTCTGCCATTCTTGTGCAGATTGCCAATGTTGCCAATATTGCCGTAGATTCTCCCATGCAGCTGTAGGGCAAACCATTGTAAACCGCCAGTCGCGAGGAACACGTGCGGCGGCATAAAATGGAACCCGCAATGGTGCTGCTAATATATTATTATCCAGTGCTGGTAACGCGGCGGGTGGAAAAGACCACAATCCTGTTAAATCCCCAGCCACAAAGTATGTTGTGTCTGCTAACAAACAACCACGGCACTCGGTTGCGATACCAGGTACAGCAAAGAGAATCTCTTCAATCGTACTGAATGGACGAATAGGTGGGATATAATCACTTTCCAGTAAATTATTATCATTATGGTTGCCGCTGCGTAGATCATCTGGATCACGCGGCTCTGCTGGGATACGTACACCAACAAATGTATTATTATAACGTTGAATAAACTGATGTTGACGAATGTTCTCCGGATCTGCTAATACAGTTGAGAAGAGATAATTCACAAAATGAGAACGGTAAAGACCACCATGTCTTAAGAAGAGATGATGTGCACTATCAAGACTGTGATGCTCAACAACACTAAAACTGTTAACAAGGGCTACATTGTGTGGTGAACGGCGTCTAATCTTCTTTTGTCCTCTATCATGAATTGTGATGTAACCTTCAGCCGCATTCACACCATCACTACTCCACTCTTGAGATCCCAATGCAGAGGTGTCATCACTTGTATGTGATAAGGCAGTATTCTGCATTCCCGCTCTTAATCTTCCTGTCGCAGTGTATTCATATTCTTCTTCTCTTTCTCCAATGGCCCCATTCTCTTCGCTCTCCTCACCTACACGGATATTCCATTCATCTCCAATAAGTTCCACGCCTAATTCCATCCCTTTTCGTTTAACATCAGACTCGCAAATTAATAAAGGACGTTGATTTGTAAATTCCGACCATGGTAATCCTCTTGATGTCTCTTCAACACCAGGAAGTACACGAAGATGCAATCGAGCTAATGTTGGACGAACTTCCACTACAAATGAAACAGATGTTTTTCCTTTTGTATGACTATCTTCTGAGAGGACATCTCGAAGTGTTACACGTAAAAGTCGTGGAAGTTGTAGTTTTCGCTGTAATAATTCACTATTCTGGTTCTCATTATAATCTGTAGGACTAAGCATCTGAAATGATGGACATGAAGCTAATTGCAAGTATATTTGTTTCCGTGTTGTTTGCGATGTTGAGACTTTCATCCCTGCATGCATTTGTTGTAAACATGGAGCAAGACCCACATCTGGTGGTGAATCTAAAATATCTGTTAAATTTGGATTCTGTAACTCTTCCAATACGATACGATCTTTTGGAAATGGTTCCAAATACGCAAATCTCGTTCCACTAACGTTTACATGAATGAGAGGAATACCACCTTCCACTTCACATTGTTTAATGGCTGCAGGAGTTGCCCCTACTGCTGGTGGTACATCTACAATCTCTACACGACCAAATAATACAAGTGATTCTGGAGGAGCCAATACAGGCATTAACGCAGATCCCGCAGTTCCTGAAATGTTCGTTCCACACAATATATCCTTATGTATGGCTGTGCGGAGGAAAAGATTATGCGGTGCTGTAAATGACCCCTGACGTGGTAATGTTAAACGTATGGCCGCAATATCTTCGTTAAGAACACCCTTGTATAGACGCATAGCTCTTTCAAACCGTTCCTCACGTGAGACTCTTCTCGGTACATCTCCAATAAGTGGTTGTGGTGATTGTTCTTTCGTTTTCTGTTTATGTTGCTTCAGTTCTTCTTGCTCACGACGCAATCGTGCAATCTCGTCTAGTTGACTCTTTGTGATCCGACGACGTGAGAGAGCCACCTGTAGATCCGCACGCAGACCTGTTACATCAATACCATCACGTGTCCATTGAAACTCCTGCTGAAGACCTTCCAGTTGCTGCAAAACAACATCTAAAGAAACTAAACGTTGTTCCTTTGGTGGTACTCGATGTGCCCGTCGGCTTCGCAGTGCGGCCTCTGTATCATCATGGCGTGGAAGGAAATGATCGAGTGAGGCGAAGAGAGGCTCACACTTCACATGTGTATCCCGCACCTTCTCTACATACTCCAACCACTCCTTCGCCGTGTGGCCTTCTAAACCGTCTGGGCGGTTCACTTCAGACCAGAACTGCAGCACATCCGATCCTCGCAAAGTCCCACGGACACATTTTGACAAGAGACTATACCGTTTTTCTTCTTTTTCTTGTTGTTGTTGTTCTTCTTCTTCTTGAATGGGTATCTCCTTCTTCTTATCATCATCATTATCATCTTTTTCTTCTTCTTGTTGTTTCTGTGAGTGTGGTGAATTGTAAGTGTAGCCTCCCATTTGCAATGGCTGTGCGGTGTCGAGTCGCAACACCACGACGGCCGCTGCAGTGTCGCTGATGTCTAACTCCGACATCACCACATCGGGATCTCCGCGCAGACTCAACATGGGCCGCATACTTCCCGTCACCCGCGTGAGTGTTGTCGGGTTGAGAAATGGCAGGAACGCCGCCACGCCATTTCTCTCTCTTTCTCGTATTTCCATTTTAATATCCATTCCATTATTATTATTATTATTATTATTCTCTCCGTATTCCGTTTCTACTCCTTCTCTCCCATGATGCGCTTGTCCAGTGTGTGGACCGCTGCTCGTCGTTGGGGCCCCGGCGATAACTTCACTCGTTATAAAGTCACTGCCATCTACACAATCATACCGCCCAGCATCACCGCCACTAACAGCACGAAAGAGCGGGCGGGATAATTCAAATGGCCGTAAGTGTCGAGTGGCCGTAGCGCGAAATGATACACATCGTCCATCGGCATCTACACGACGCACATCTTCCCACCGTGCGGAAGAAATCCACCACGGCAGTGAACACCCACGACGGGCGAGTCGCGCTGCACCGGACTTCACAATCTTCTCAAATGCCTCAGGGTGAACGAGACGCACACCAAATGGTGAGGCATCCTCATCTCTTTTATTACGATCTTCTCTTTTTTTATTTGCTTCTTTTCCTGTTGATGAGGGTTGGGCAGTGGGATTCGAGCCACGCACTCGTTCGGCGTGCAGGCAGATGGAGAAACGACCACGACCCGTGTAGGCATCACACTCGTGATCTAATGTGGCATTCACTGATAGAAACGCCGACACCCGCTCAATCTCCACCTGCTGACGTCGAATGTAAGGACAGTTTTTCGTCCGCATTGGGCCAAATACCCGAAGTGAAGGGTGAAGTTCATATTGTAGACGAGTAGCACCAATAGGGAGATTCTCCACAACAAGCATCTCAAATCCCATATTATTCTGATCACTACTGTTGGATACAAATTCAAGGTGGAAACGTGGACGACGCAAAGTTAATGAACTTGTCGCTCCGGGCATATCCACCAGTGTCCATTGTTGTGTAGATGTGGTAGTGGGAATATGAACTGTACTGGATAATGTCACAAGACGATGTGAGCGGAGATTATCTGTTAATACAAAGAGTCGTACAGTATCATAATCCACTAGTACACGTTTCTGCTGCTGCTGCTGCTGCTGCTGCTGCTTCTGTTGTTCTTGAGAAGTATCATTCCTTTGATCCATGGGAGAAACAGCGTAAATAGCCCATCGAATAGTAACAATACCAAAAGGTAGTCCTCTTACTTGAGTTTGTGGTTTAGTACCGTGATCAAACCGTAAACCAGTAAAATTAACTCCACTTGTCCAGGTTTCATTGTTTGACCTTTGTATTGATACGACTTCCCACTGTCCTATGAAATCGCATGCAATTTCTCTTGGAATTGGAACTGCTTTCAGTATTGCTGTATCCCCACATACGGTTAATTCCTTCTCCATTACCTGAGCATGTGTAACATGTAGTGTTTCTACAAAACTTACATTTGGACAAATGTTTGGATACGCCGGATCGGGATGATGGTGTGCAAATGTGTAGAGTCCAGGAACACGAATGCCTGTTACTAACACAGTCGCCCCACCTGTACCCCTCGCAAGTGCACGTGGATGTTGTACAAGTGGTAAAAACTGTACAGAGTCTAGTAGTAATTGAGTTCCCATAGATGTAGGAACGGCTGGGATAACACTCATAGCTCTCCATTTAGAGGTTCGTCTTTTCATTGGGGCGTCTACATGCAATACAACACTCTTTCCAACCACCCATCGTAAACTTTTCTTTGTTTTACCGCCATATCCAGAAGTAGTACTACCACCATTACGAGATCCAGAAACTCCATTATTAGATTTACTTGATGCTTCTCTAACACGGGAGTTGTTGTTTACAATGCATGAACCATTAGCCGTATTGTCACTCAACAACACAAATGCGGAAGAGGGCGCTGTTGGATACACACGACGAAGTAAGAAAGTGTCTGTCTGCGTTGTATCCGTCAATGTGTTATGAACAGTGAGATTGCAGTACGTCTCATTAATGCTACTCTCACTATTACCACCAGTGTGATGTAAAATAGATAGAGTCGGGGTGCGTTTCTCTACAGTAATACCACCACCCTTTGTGCTGCTAAAGAACCCACTCGACTCACAAGTCCAGGAAAAGTCAAAGTGATACTTTGTGTTTAACCATGGATGACGTGAGAAGATAAAAGAGGATTGGCAAAATGGAATCACATCTCCTTTACGCGCCTGTACAAGACCACGAGGATTAACGGCCAAAACAGAAATATTCCCAGTTCTTGCAGTACACATACCACGTCGATTAAACTCTTCAGCATCTCGACTAGGGGCATGTGAATGTGGAGAGAGACGTACCATGTAGAGTAGTGGGTAGAGTGAACTATTACTTATACCATGTAATTGCAGCTGACGCCTTGTAGCGTCTTGTGTGATAGAAAAACGGGCATCGTATTCAATATCTATAGCGTGATCACGCCGAGTTGTTCCATCCATCATCGATCGTTCAAAGTATAGATTATCATCATAATCATCATCATCATTATTATTATAAATATTAATATTATTATTCTCATATTCTATACCAGTGGTTTCTACATTGTTATTATTATTATTTCGGTTGTTGTCTTTATTCAGATTAATATATGTTTTCTTGTCTTCTGGAAAAGGAACGAAGCGACGCAGTAGCAACGGTGTGGTTACGGCGTCTGTCACATCATTTCGGTTATCACTATCTATATTAATACTGCCATGTACAGGTTCATAGTGTTGTTGTGTATTTCCTAACTGATGTGCGGCATCATGTGCATAGGTGAAGTATGCCTCAAAGTCTTCCTGTAATCCAGTATAATTAAACGAATAGGCAATGGTGGCATTATATCCAGCAAGAGGAAGAACCGGTCGTGCCGTATAGCGACGAATAACTCCATCCCCACTAATCAAACTAGTAGTACTAGTAGTACTACTAGTAGTAGTTGTTGTTGTTTCTCCATTTTTAGTATCTATGTTTTCCTCTTCTAACCACTCAATATACGGTAATGCATATACTGCTAATGGTATACTACTCATACCGTGTGGAGTTTCCTTGTGAAACAACACCTGCGGTGGTCGTTGACATCGCCGTAGTGAGAAGGTCTGCGTGACAGAGCCAAGAAGATTACGTGCAGTCCATTCCACATCGCACCACTTGTGTACTTCAATTCCACAAACCATTACCTCTTCTCCTTCTTTCTCTTCTTTTTGTTGTTCTTCTGATTGTACGAGATATGGTGGATGTGTGGCCTCCGCACATGGAGGGAAATGCCACTGTGTCTCTTCATCCTTCCACGCCACTCGTGGTGCCTGCAGACGCACACAACTATTCTCTGTATAGATGGGTACAAGTGCTGGCACGATAGGGGGAGCCGGCCGTGCAAAGACCATCACGGTGTGTTCAACAATACGTGGAGGACATCGTGAGGTGTACGGTGTTCCCACATCATCCACTGCGGCGCCGTAGTCCTCTGCGATGTAGCGAAGTGTGCCCGTCGGTAGTGTTTGCTGCACATTTGGCACATCTGCGGTGTCTAGTAGGAGTACGAGGGATTCATCAATAGAGATAATCCGTAAGGGGGCGTTAACTACCCATCGCCCCAATGGTGGTGTCTCTATTCTATTATTAATATTATTAATATTATTATTATCATCCTCATTTTCACTTCTTCTTTTTGTTGTTGTTGTTGTTGCTTCTAATGGACGTGGTGGGTGTACGGTGAGTTGTCGTAATTGCATGGGCAACAACACCGTAATGTGTGTTGGCATTGTAGACATCCGGCGTACCACCAACACCACATGTGAGTGAAGCTCCACGACTACGACTACACCATCATCATCACCACTTTCTTCCTCTGCTTTCACCATCATCATACGTGCATGTGTGGGATCTATATTCTCTCTGGATAGAGGTGTAGATGATGTATTCACAACAACACGTACAATCCATGATAACTCCGCCACTCCACGTCTTCGCATCTCCAACACGGCACTTGTGCCTCCACTACTCTTCTCCACTGCAGGGCGTATTTGACACAGCCCAACACCACGTTCTGTACAGTTAAAATATCCTTCCATGATATCACTCTTCTTCTCTTGTTGTTGTTGTTCTTGTTGTTCTTCCAGTTGACGACGCTGTGTAGATTCCCATAATGTCAATGGGGCAAATTGCACCGTCAAGTGCCGTAACTCTTGCATAGTGATAAGAAGACGTTTTAACGCTAATGCTTCCAGCGAAATATTATCATGACATGCCGTTGTGGGTGATGTCTCTGGTTGGAGTAACAAGGCCTGCACAGACCACACCTCATGGGTCTCCAGAAGTGTGGGTTGACACACCTCATCCACATCTACAACGTAAAAGGAAATATCATTTCGTCCTACAAAAAGAGAATAGATAACAGCCTCTTCTTCTTTTTCTTTTTCTTCTTTTTCTCCTTGTTCATATTCTACCGAGTAGGGATTATTATCTCTCACACGTTGTCGTGTCTGTGGTAGGGGTTGATCCTCCAATGGGGTATTCTCCCAATATCCATAATAGCGTGCGGGGGTGTGTTGGAGTGGTGGGGCTAATGCCCGCTGTACAGTATGCATAGATCGTGTCTCTTCCGAAAGTCGCAGTCGTCGTTGAATGCCAAAGTGAACTTGTGGAGATATCCGCCGTACATTCCAATCCATAGTAAATGGCAATCGCATCACAAAGACACCACTAGATCTTTGTTGGATGGTTCCACGTGTGAGGATGACCTGTACGGTGTACTCATGATGTGGGAAGATATGAAAGTAACTGGAGTTGGCATGATGTAGGCGTAGTAGTGGTTCGTTCGCCTCGTTTATTGTGGATGGAATGTGAAAAGATTCATCCAGCACAACCACAGAACCACTACTACTACTACTACTCTTACTACTAATACCAGCAGTACTGATAATACTAGAAGTTGTAGATTTAGTAGTGGTGGTGTCTGTTACTATCCAATGCACGGCTGTGGCTGCTGGCAATGGTGGGGATACGGCAAATGAGACTGCCCATGAATTATCACGTAATTGTACAATATGATGATGATGATGATGCAATTGATATTGATATTTATTAGTATTCGTATGATTAACATTATTATTATTATTATTATTATTATTATTATTATTATTATTATTAGTATTATTTACCCGTTCCGTTCCTTCTAATTCTTGTTGTTCTTGTAGTTGATGCTGTGTTCCACAGTGTGAGCCCAATCCTACAATAGAGACCGGTGGAAGTGTATCTGGCCGCACACGTAGTATAGGCATCACCAGCAGTGTATGTGGACATTTACATTTAATAGCCACATTCGCTACTTTTAATTGAATCTCAGCAGAAACATCTGCCGTCGTTGTTATTGTTTTTGTTATTTTTGTTTTTTCTCCTCCCACACGTTGTTGAGGTAATAATACACGTTGAATACCTTTTCCCACAGCTCCAGAGACAAGCACTATTACATCTCCATCCCCATCATTCCCTTCTTGTTTATCCTCCTCCGTAAGTCTATAGGTGGCATTATAGTATCGTTTTTCTATTGTATCTACAATCACTATTCGCTCACGTGGAAACATATCCCGTTTTTCTTTTTCTGTTAACACCTGAAATGGTGTGGCCTGTAATAAGGTATGCAGAAAGGCATCATATAGTTTCTCCTCTCGTAATAACTTTCCATCAAACTTATAACCACAGCAGAGACTCATCTTTAGTGTGAGATTTGCGGCGATGAGAAAACTCGCGGGTGTGAGGACGTCACTGTGTGTGAAAGTTCCAGTGGCCCACACCATTGAAGATCGTGGGCAGCCGTGGGCAGCTGTGCAGGCAGAAACAATGTTGAGATGTGAAGAAGCGAGATCTATACTACTACTACTACTAATAGTACTAATAGTTGTTGTTGTTGTTGTGGACCTAAGATGTGCATTCAACGCTGAAAGATTCTCCATGTGTAGAAGCCAAGATGATGATGATGATGATAAGATGGCATCCTTCCCTGCAGCTAGACGGCTCTCTTCTTCACGTTCTTCTATTTTCTCAACTAGAGTGGATTCGCCTTGTGTCTCCCCCACAGCGGAGATGAGGAGTATCACCAGTAGTAGTAACGACCATAGAGAGACTACCGAAAGACGTTGGAATGATTGTCTTTGTGATGATAGTAGTGGGAGAGTTGAAAGGAACATTGGGTTCTNATATATATAAATATATAAATACAACGTGTAGAGAAAACACGTATTGCTTCATTTGCAATTGTCATTCGTGAAAAGAAACAAAAAACAAAAACAAAAAAAAAGTGAATAAATCATTCTTCACGACATTACGATTGCCATGGCTACTTACATCTTAATTAAATCAGAGATAAAGTAAATGAGAACGAAACACGAAAAAAAAGGAGGGGGAGAGAATGAATATTCCAAAAATTCCCTTGCAAGAAATAAGTAATACCCATATTACTCTCATATATATATATATATATATATATATATATTTATATTTTTTACCCTTCGCCCTGTGGAAAGGCGTTTATAGTGAATACAAAAAAAAAAACCCTACAACGTAGAGAAAAAAGAGAGAAATCGCAGAAAAGAAGAAACGAGAATGAAAAAAAAAGAGGAATAGTCTAAGAGAAGAGGAAAAGAAAATAAACAACAACAAAAACAACAAGAAGAACAACCACAACAAAAAGAAAAAAAAAAAGATAAAATTATATACAGAGTGAAGTGAATAAAAAAAAAAAAGAAGAAAAAAAGAAAGAAACGAACACATTGTTGTTTAAAACGTGAAAACACCAAATTTATCTCTTATTGTAATAAAAAGGGGTGGGTAATAATAACAATAGCATTAGTAATAATAAGAAGGAAACAAAAAAAAAAAGGAAGAACGTTGAAAAAATTTTGCAGCAGGCATGAAATGAAGTAGAGACGAGAAATAAAAAAAAAAAAAATCATTTGATTCCTGCAATCCATGTGTGATGCCATAGAAGATAAATAGATAAATAAATAGATAAAAGATATATATATATATACCTAATACTAAGAGAAAAAGCGATGACATCAATTTTTCTTTTTTTTTTTCTTTTTCTTGCAATTGAGAGGACGTATTCATGTATATCCACACGTCCCCCAGTGAAAGAGGGATATAATATATATTATATTATATCTGTATGCATACATATATATATATATATATATATAGATATATATAAATATATAAATACAACGTGTAGAGAAAACACGTATTGCTTCATTTGCAATTGTCATTCGTGAAAAGAAACAAAAAACAAAAACAAAAAAAAAGTGAATAAATCATTCTTCACGACATTACGATTGCCATGGCTACTTACATCTTAATTAAATCAGAGATAAAGTAAATGAGAACGAAACACGAAAAAAAAGGAGGGGGAGAGAATGAATATTCCAAAAATTCCCTTGCAAGAAATAAGTAATACCCATATTACTCTCATATATATATATATATATATATATATGTTTAGCTTTTTCCTTTTATCCCCCCTTTATCCCCATAACACGCACATTAGTTTTCATTCTTGTCTCCTTTTCTAGCTTTCCGTATATTAAATATAAATATATATATTAAATATAGATAGATATAGAGATATCTTTCGTTCTCCTCACTTACAGATACAAATATGGTGCAATAATAAATACAGTTTTCACACGGCAGAAACAACAGGAGCATCATTATAAATGAACACGCAACTACGTACACACTGAGATAGATTATATATATATATATATATAT